CTGACAGGCTTAAAATAGAGGACCTTCTAGGAAAACTGCACACATGACATAATAAAAGCTTTAAAAATCATAGAAATATCCATTCATGCTTCTGGGTCAGGCTCGAAAGGGAGGACCTTCAAGGGAAATTGGGGACATGAGGCAAAAACACTCATAGAAATGTACATTCATGCCTCTTAGGCATGTTCAAAATGGAGGACCTTTTGGGATTCCTCTTGGACAGAAGGCTGAAATGGAGGACATGACACAATAAAAGCCAAATACATTCATAGAAATATAAATTTGTGCTTCTCAGTCAGGCTTGAAATGGAGGATCTTGGAGGAAAATGTCAGGCTCAAGTGAGGACCTTAAAAGAAAATGATCCAATAAAAGCCAAAAACACTCATAGAATTGTAAATTCATGCTTCTTATTCAGGATCAAAATGGAGTCCCTTTGAGGGAAATGGAGGACAGGACCCAATAAAAGCTTTAAAACACTGATAGAAGTATAAATTCATGCTTCTATCAGGCTCAAAAGGGAGGGCCTTCAATAAAAATGGAGGACATGAGTCAAAAACACTCATAGAAACATAAATTCATGCTTCTTAGTTGTGTTCAAAACTTTGGGGGATTCATCCTGGACATACAGTTGAAATGGAGGACATGGCCTGGAAAAGGAGAAGCTCTGGTCAACCTGGATGCAAAATGTCATTATTATGTGTATTATTGTCTTTAATGAGTCCAGGTTGACCAGATGTCCTCACCGCAAAGGAGGACAAGACAGCACAAAATGTAGGACAGTCAAGAAAACGTCCGGCATGACACAATGAAAGCCAAAAACACAAATATAAATTCATGCTTCTTCATCATGCTCAAAAATGGAGGACATTTTAGAATTCCTCCTGGTTTCTTCCTTCTACCCTTGGGAGGATGGTTTATACCAAGTCATTGTGATAGCACCTAGATTTGTTGCTGTATCGTGTCTGAAATAACATCACAGGTAGGTACGACTTGGAGATACTGAGTAATTATGTGATGGGAAGAACAAGAACGAGAACAAGCAAGTCATATACGTGGCTTGTTCTTCCCATCACATAATTACTCAGTATTTGGTTTCTCAAAGCTAAATAAGTGTCCTGAATTAGTATTACTGGTATATCTAAGGTGACATCAGAGGGATATAAAAATGTGTGCCTTCAAGTCACTTATGACTTATGACAGACCTATCACTGGGTTTTCTTGGCAAGATTAGTTCAGAAGGGTTTTGCCACTGTGAGGCTGGGAAACTGTGACTTGTCCAAGATCAACTCTGTGTGTTTCCATGACTGGGCAAGGATTCAAACTCGAGTCTCACAAAGTCCAAATCCAACGCTCAAACCACTACAATCACACTGGCTCTCTAAGTTGTACCTTCCTGTGATGTTATTTCAGACATAATACACCAACAAATCTAGATGTTGTCGCAATGTGGACTTCATTATACACTTGTCCCTCCACATTTGCTGGGGCTAGGGGTACAGGACCCCCGTGAATGTGGAAAAACTGCAAATAATAAAAACACTATTTGCCTGATTCCCTAGGAATCTGGTCCTCCAGTGCAATTCTGTGGTCAACATCTGCCAGACATTGACCATAGAATTGCACTGGAGGAGCAACAAATGTCTAATAGAGTGTTATCTCTAGGAATCTCTAGGTCCTTCAGTGAGACTTTTTGACCATAAATTGACCATAGAGTTGAGCTGGAGGATCTAGATATTCCTAGAGAGAACATATTAATAAAACCCATGAATAATCAAATCCGCAAAAGTCAAAGCCGCAAGTGCGGAGGGATGAGCGTACATGTTTTCAATGTGTATTTGTCAACATTCAAACATCCTTTAATAAAAATAGGGCCCTACTCACAGCTGGATCTATTAATATCAGGAGTGAGACAGCTGCCTCAGACAGCAGATTCTGGAGACAAAAAAAAATTCCTTTATTATTGAAAACAGCAAAAGGTTTTCTGGCACCTTCAAGACTAATGCATTTTATTTCGCATAAGTTTTCATGAAATGCAGCCCACTTCATCCAATGGTTACTGTTATATTTTTACTGCCAGGGATGAGGAGATGCTTGTGGGATTTCCTGACTCATCCCAAAATACCGTAACTCTGCTGGATTTAAGTACTATGGACCTAGATTTGTGTACATGGGTTGGGGATGGGAGTTCCCATTTGACCAGATGTAATAAACACAAAAGAGAGCAAAACATGGTGATATGTAGGACATTGAAGAAAAATGCAGGTCGTTACAAAAGAATACCCCAAAACACTAATAGAAATGTAAATTCATGCAAGAAGCATGCTCAAAATGAAGGATATTTTGTAATTCCTCCTGGACAAAAGGTTGAAATGGAGACCCTGTCTTGGAGAAGGAGGACCTCTGGTCACCTTGGATTCAGGTGCAAACCGTCTTGCATAATCCCTGCCCCTACTCTGTACTGATTTCTTTCCTGCCCTAAAAGTTTGGGTAGTGAGCATCTTAAATACCAAGAAATTGAAGGGAAAATGTGCTCTCTTCCCCCCCACACACACATAACATGTAGAGTTCAGAGCTATAGCTGTGTTGGTTTGAAATACCACTATTCAAAAGGATCTTGTAGCATCTTTGAGACTAACTGTGTAGAAGACGAATTCAAAGATATAACCATGTTAGTCTGTAGAATCAGTATATAGAGA